TTAGTTCGTATTCGGGCCGTGGGTTATCTCCCCTGCTCCATGGACCCCAGCTTGATCTATAGTGACGAATGAACAGAAACACAAATAGGCCTCAACTCAGAGTCCCCATCGACTCAAACTTGTTTGTGCTGCAGGAGCTAAACCAGCGCATGCAGCCGAGACTACTGCGTGACCACTTTTGAGTCCAATATTATTAGTTATAAGTGTTTTCACACAATGTAAGGCTGTCTTCCTCCCAGTGTGCATTGATTGTCATCCAAGAAATATGTTTTATTCAATAAACTTAGCTTCAAGGAAAATGGGGATCAATTAAGGATTACTGTGATGTTGATGGATGTTGTGTTACTATGAATACTGTCATAAAAAATAATGTACTATCTGTCTGAGAATGAGGATTGACTGCCTCAAAGCAATTGTCCCTTTATGAATAAAGCATTATAATGCAGCCAGAGCAACAATAAGACAAAGTATTTTCACTACATATTTATAAAATATAGCATATACAGATCGATATTATGTTAGTTGTATAAATAATCCCTTACTTTAAAGCCTTGGTACCCATATTTCAAGCCACACAAAAAAAAAAAACAGAAATAGAAAATTGGCTGGACTTTGCTTTCCCAGTACTTTTAGTTTTAGCTCTCTTCTTTTCTTCAGCTATGCTTAGAATTTGTCATTCTATTCCCAAAAGATTTGAGTTTATATTTAATATCTTTGTTAGCTCAGAGAAGGTCATCACATTTTCCCTTGTGTGTTTTCCAAACTCTTGGACGACCCGTAGAACTACACCCAGGCTCTTGTGCCATCCATTATCAACTTTAGAAAGCCTTTAAGTGTTCTTGTTGTTAAGCATCCCTTTGTGAAATTCCCTCTGCTGCTCCAAAATATGGAAAAGACCTCCCCTGGTGATGATCTTAACAGGATGTACCAGAAGATTTTTTAGGAGAGGCAAATGAGTGCAGTTGACAAAGGTGGAAATGAAGAGACCTAGCATTAGCTTTAGGTTCAGCTCAAGAAGCTCATGGCAGAAATAGTGTTCCCTACATGAATACATGTTTTATTAAGTCAATTTAACGGTGAATATTAACCAATGGAAAACAATTGAACAAACAGACATGCCAAACATGCTTCAGTCTGCATTAAGAACTGTCCTGTTGTTCTGAATATTCATATTCACATGCATCATGTTAAGGTCATAGTAAGCCTATTTTTTCATTTGAAATTTCTGCGTTCTCTACCTGGTTAAGTGTTTCCTGTATTTGTAATTAAATTTGGTAAAACTAGGTAAAAGCAAAAGAGTAAAATATATGCGGTAACTATTGTTTTTGTCATTTTAATCTTGAATAACCTTCTTGTATTTGTTCCCCATTTGTAAATAATATCACAATGCAGCCACACAGAAAACAGCACTGCGTAGTATGTGTTTACAGAAGAATTTAGTTTAATCCATAATGGGGGAATTAAGCCTTTGCTAACTACTAAAACAGTGCATCACATTTGCCAGTATAACAGGCCCAGTTTTGTGCAGCGCAAGCATTGCGCACATTAGCCTCTGATGACTATGCGAGCGAACGTGTCTTAAGTGCTAATTGAAAACTTCACATCCAACAACACACACACACACATATATATTCCTTCCCTTTTTATCCCCTCCTTTCAACACACACACGCGAGTACACATATTCATTAGAGCAAATGGAATTAAGGGGATTGGGCGCATAATCTCCTTCCCTTGCGATGTGAGCGTATAGAGCTGCTAATTTCTCGCCTCTAACTACATACTTGGGCTTGGTGTGAGAAGATGGAGTCCCTTGCATCTGGCTGCGCATGAATGAATTATAAGACAGACCGTTGCTCCTAAATGCCACATGCCATCAGACAGTAGCACGCATTGGCTTTGAATATTCTGCTGAAGGATAGAAACTTGTATCTTTGTAAAAGCAAGCAGGAAATAACGTTGAGCATATAAAACAATAAAACAAAAATACTGGTGTGACGAATATATTTGTATATACATTTACAAACTTTAACACTGGGTAAGGACTTGAGTGAGTATAGATACAAAATAAAATGAATCACTTCTTCAGTCCCTTCTGCCGTTATTACCATTTGAATGCAAGTAATGCAATAATCCCCATCTACTAAAATTGAGATTGCGATATTTGGCGCAGCCCGTTGAAAGGATGGGTCAATTACAGAAATCCTCTCCCTTTTGGGGCAAAATATACATAAAAGCTTTAACCAAGAAATGTATTTGGTTTAGGTTTGAATGGTTCTTGCACTTCCACTAGCCTACTCGCCCCTACTACTATCTGTAGCCACTTGCCACTTGCACATGAATGATTCACAACACAGTCTCCTGCTCTCAAAGGCCACATGCCACTGGTCCAATGCATTCCATCCATTTTAGAAAGAGCAGGTATGGTATCATACACAGTGGTTAATATATTATTCATATTTTGATCTGTAATGACTCAATGAGATTTCTACAACGTACTGCAGTATCTCATTTTGAAGTACATTCAGCTAAAGTTTGAGATCAAAGAGCTTGACACAGGGTTGGTTCCCATTGTTGTATACAATTTATTCTGCTGGTTCCTCTCTGAAATGTATATCAGTCTATTTAGATGCACATGGGGAATAATAGGAGCAGCAAATACAAAGATTATACACAAACACACACATCAAGTCGCAAACGTGTTCACCTGTTGCCCTGTTGGTTTACCTCTTGTTTATGTTGCTTCCATATGAATAATACATGTGCATCTAGAAGTTTTTAAAGAGGGAGCAATGTTTTTCTTTGACAGAAACAAAGTGTTGTACACACGAGTTGTGCACATGAACTGTGAGGAATCCTCAACACTCCTGACTGTGAAAAATGGTTTTGCTTGAAAACACAATTCTTGCTTGTGGTATGTAGTGAAGTTTCAGAACCACTGTTTGAGAGACCGTCAGGAGCAATGGAGAAAGTTAGAACATGGATTATTTGACTATACCATCGATCCTTTATTTTTTGTGGGAACATTATCAATACAATTTTATATTGTATTCATATTTTTTGTTATTATGCCTCACCTCTCTTTCCCATCGTGTAGTTTAATTCATTCCTTCTTTGATAGGTGTCAATCTTGTTGATAAGTTTGGTAAGAGGTTGAGTAAGTGCTACTTTGGGTTGGGTATATTTATGAGTCAGGTGTCCTTCAGAATCTGTATACAAAAAAACTCAAATTGGAAATTTATTTTTCAATTTTTTTGCAAGGCCATTTTTTATTAAAGGCAACATAAATAACTGCATTTTCTGTGGAGTAGCGGAGCAAAACATTTCAGTGACACAACCAGTGGGGGAGGGTCCCAGCTCAAAAGTGGCCAAAATGACGTGAGCTGACATGCTTGCAATACCACCCCGGGCCGTTGGGGGTGGACTCAGAAGAAGAATTAGCCAATGCTAACATATAGCATTGGCAGACCTCTCAAAAACGTCTTTACAGGATGGACCAAAAGTTGGCTCTTGGCCCAAAGCTCCGTTCCACATGTGTGTCAATGCTGAGGGGGGTGGATTTTTTTGGTCCACTCTAGTTTACTTGCTGTGAATTTTTGAAGTCTCTCGTTCAAATGAATGGAGCTGCGCCGGCTGACGCATGCGCATATACGTTTTTTCACAATTTTCTTGTGGGCGGGACCACTCGCGGCCATTTTGGATTGCTCCAGTAGAGCACATTTTTTGGCCCATTAGTTAGAACGGCGGAGATAGGCGTGACTCTGTCCATTAATATATACAGTCTATGGACACAACGCGAGTGGTGAGGCTGATAGGAGGGGCTACACAAGTTGTTTATTCTATAACATTGTTTTTGCTCAATCTTAACAACTCATTATACCATACGTTTAATTAAGATCATAGATTATCACAATATTGAGAACAGAGTTGGGTTATGTCCCCTTTAATCTGTGTTAATACATTGTGTATCCTACCTAATTAAAATGGTATTATGAAACTGAATATCCCAGTCAACAAAATGTATGTTGCCTTTCATTCACAATTGCATTCTATTGGTTTAATAGTAATCATCTCGGATTTCAATTTCTCCTTGACACTTTGAATAAAACATTAAACAACATCCGGGGGCCATTCACATTGACTAAGTGGACTCAGTTCACTACAATGGGTTTTACCACATCACTGTTGTATTGCCTCGCAGTAATACTAGAAATTATTTATAAAGTTAGATAATTCAATTTTAAAAGTTCAGCAGTGAAACACACATGGAGTAAAATTGAGTTACCAACAAACAGTAATACCAACAAATTAGTTTTTCTTTTTCCTGTCACAAAATGGAAACAAATGAGCTCACAGGTCACTCATTCTTGCCTGGCCTGCCAGACACTCCTCCTTTCTGTTCAAAAGAAGAACCGTCTGGACACCTCTTCCTAGCCTATCATTTCACGATTTTACCCACATCGGTCCAATCACGCACCGAGAGGCGGGACTTCCTTTCACCTTTGAGTTGCTAATAACTCCTCGTATCTTTAAGTTTTTGTTACAAAATCGACAGCAGTCGTTTACATTTGCACTAGCTGACATGCCGCCATCCCTTGTTTTGTGTTTACTGAAACGGCTTGGGTGCCGCTAGTTGCTGCGTCATATCCTGTGTGCATCTAATTGGTTGATGCAGTCTGTCAACCACGCCCACCGGGAATTCGCTGAGATCAAGCTCGTTCCCAGACTATATGTCTTTGAAAAAGCATATCGTTTGGCAGGCCAGGCAACACTCATTCCTCATTGCACGTCTTGCTCAGCCATCTTCAGGTGACAATGGATCCTTAGGACATCCAATCAATTACCTCTGTATGCGGCCTTTCCTCCAGCCAAAACAAAGCTTAAAATTCATCCCCCGCACATTCCAACCAATCACAATCTATGCAGGCAAGAGGGTGTCGAAATCTTGCGAAACCCCCGAGAAAGATCCTTGACCTTTTCAAATGGCAGCGACAAGTGTTGGATGTGGGGGGCCGGTGACTGGAGCTGGCACTCGAAGGGGATAAAGACAGTGAGAAATGGCCTTTGCATCACAAGGAAGGCAACAATGTCCATCTTCAAATTCTCAAAAGAGGTTCCATTTGCCTCATTCAGCGTTTGTGCAGACTAGCTTATGTGTGCGTGGGTTTGTGTGTGTGTTTGTGCGAATGGTAGCTGACAGCGCTGGGTATGTTTTGGTTCGGATCGCAAGTTATTCCCGCTGAATACCAATGAGCAGCTGTCTAATGCAAAGCAGTGCGTGTGTGTGTTGGCAAGAGAAAGGTGTTCCCTCAATGTCCGCTTCCCTCAGTGGAAAAATCAATCTGGCTGACGACAACGAGCTGTTACTCTGGCTAGCGTCACGTGTGTGTTGTGTGTGTTTTCTGTCACTCTGAGGAGCATTGTCTAAACACCATCAATTGCGCGTCCACCAATCCTTAGACAGATCCGTGTGTGGTGATGTAATGTAATGTAATGGTGGCATTGTAAGGTCTTGTGAGGTCTTATGAGGTCTTGAGGTCCCAAGAAAAAAATGATAATGTTATTTTAATGTGTAGCAGAGCATAGGTTTTCAACAATTTATCGTCCTAAGAACTTGGCTTTTAACACCTCATAAATTGCGGGCTCACATTGCTGTATTGTCATTTATTTTTTTATGGCTTGGGGACTTTATTGTGGGATTTTATTACTTTCTTTATGTGTTCTGTCTCTGTGCAGCACTTTGTGACATTGTTTGTTTTGGATTATAGCATTTTCAGTTAATGTAATATTGACCAAATGTACAAGAGCTTTATTTATCAAATCAGGTGCTAAACTGAGTTCCAAAATAGTACAGGATGTGCAATTTGATCTATCTGCACATCAGTTTGCTTTTTTTAGTGGTTAGCGCTTGTGCTTCATAGGAAGAAAGTCCTGGGTTTGACGCCTGTGCCTATAGGTTTGCATGTAGTCACTAAAGATTATGTCAGCAACTTAACTTGTATTTCATTTCTAATAATATGTATTAACAAAATGGCACTGACTTAGGCGGCATGGGGGCTAAGTCGATGGCATTCTCGCCTCTCAGCAAGAAGGTCCTGGGTTCGAATCCCGGTCGTAACAGGGCCTTTCTGAGTGGAGTTTGCATGTTCTCCCCGTTTCTGCGCAGGTTTCCTCCGGGTGCTCCAGTTTCCCCTACCACGAAAAATATGCTCTCTAGGTAAAATCCTCCAGCTCCGGTAGTCCTGACCATGCCGAGCATTAACATCTGGAGATGGGCTCCCGGGCGCTGCACTACGGCGACCACTGCTGCTGACGTAAGCCTTAGTGGCATCAGGATGGGTCAAATGCAGAAGACAAGTTTCCCTACGGGGACAATAAAGTGCACATTTACATTTACATTACTTACTCAGCAATATTATATGTAAAATAGACCTTCCCGTTGGCATAACCACCGCTAGCAACACTTGCTGTTGGAGAATAGTTAAACCAATGACAAGGAGCCTCAAGGATTTGCATTTATTTTGAGCTTTGGTGGGTATAATGAGTGGTTGTCTTCAAAATTCACTTTCTCTTCAGAATTTGAAAAATAACTGACATTAACTGGACTGGGAAGTAGATAAGTTTGTGAACACATTCTTAGTCCAATTGAAACTCTCAATCTCTCTGCAGTCAGTTTGTGAGATAAAAATACTTACATTGAGGAATGTTATTGTTTCTTGGCTCTTATAGGTTACTTTTTGTATACCAAAGTAGTTTTGTTTGCACAATTGCTTCAAGTACGGCATATTTACATGACATTTGTTCCTTTACGTCGTTTTATCACAGGAATAGTCAGCTGCGCCCCATCTGACATTGGTATCAGGTTTTACGAAGTGCTGCCGTGTCTACAGTACTAAAATAGTCTATCCCCCTTTGTTCGTTTCACATTTGTATTTCCACTGTTGTGCCAAGCTTATCCAAATGTTTTGTTGGCTTCAAATCTTGGCCCCAACAATAACTTTGTATTTGTGTGTGTGAAGATGTGCAGCGGTGTTGACAGCTCACCTTACATCCTAGAGAATTATTAATCGTTGCATTCCCTTCGGGAGTGAGAAGCATTTATATCTGTTTGCGCGCTTTGCAGCCAGAGTAAAAATATGCATACATTTGAATATGGCGTACATGAGATGAATCATCACAGCATGACTCAACTTTTTTATTTAGACCTTTTTGCTGCTAAAATAATTCATGAGGATGAAAAGCAAATTAACTGGGGGCTTTCACATATTTTAATGCATGGCAGAGAAACATTTTGGAGGGAGAGGAGCGGATATAGTCAGCTCAATCACATACAACCACTTTTATAGATGTATTTCTCATTTAAATGTCCATTAATATGCATACTGTATAGGCCGCAGAGGATTGGCTCATACTTTTCACCATAACTGTAATTTTCCCAGTAGCCACATGCAAGGCCTTTACATATAGGAGGTGTTGAAATAGTACAGTACTTGATATCAGAATGAATCAAGAATGTTTGTTTTATTTTTTATTTTTTTAAATCTCCATAAGACAGTTATGGCAAATGGTCTGTTTGTTTATGAAGCAGGCTATCCAGGCTATCACATCAAGGAGGCACACCCATACAGCCTCCACAAGTGCAGAGGAAAGGCTTAATGTCTATACTGTGTCTGGGACCAATATTATTTGACTATTTTTTGTCTACTTTTCATCTTTGGATTTTTGGCACAGCTCCAATGTCAAGCCATCCCGTCCTCTGTGCTGATGCCTGACCCTTTGTCCTTCTGCTTCTCCAGATCCCTCAGATCAGCTACGCCTCCACCGCCCCGGAGCTCAGCGACAACACCCGCTACGACTTCTTCTCGCGGGTGGTGCCTCCGGACTCGTACCAGGCCCAGGCCATGATGGACATCGTCACGGCCATGGAGTGGAACTATGTGTCCACGCTGGCCTCCGAGGGTAACTATGGAGAGAGCGGAGTGGAGGCCTTCATTCAGATCTCCAGGGAAACAGGTAGGAGCGCACTGGTGATAATTTATATGTGCATGAGTTAGATTGACTTTTATTGTGGAGAATCCATTTAAAATTGAGTGAAAATTTATTCCAAAATGTGGGGAACACAAATCCTGAAATGCCATAATACAAAGTTGTAAGTGGCATCTGTAGCTTTTTGCTTGTCTCCAGGGGGATGTTAATGCTTGGAACTAACTACATAGAGATGTGGTACAAGTAATGTTTTTTGACGTGGATTTAAGCGATGGCTGTGTTTTAACCCAATTCACCTGTTCAGCACTTTTATGCTATTCTTTTCCTATCTACATTTACGCGTGAGTTCAGTCTGCTCATGACTTTTTGGTACCATTTTGCATCTTTTCTTTGACAAGTTGTATATTCTATGAGCTTTCATTCAGCCATCAAAATGTGTCCAATTAAAAAGGACCTGTTTCTGTTGTTTTTGCCAATTCGTACTACGTTGGCATCAGGACTGGACCCCCAATAAACACACAAGAAACATTTGGAATTGTAATCTTTGAAGCCACCTAGATTCGTGTGATGCAGTGTAGCTATACATTTGTGCTATTATTAGTGTTGTGCTCTGGACGAATGCTGAATTTGTCGACTCATTTGAAGCGAATGGGGCCTCCCACTGGAGAATAGTGAAAGAGCTTCCAGGAATAATTCTAATGAGCCCAGCTTTGAAGTGAGATGTGACAGATTCAAATACACCACACTGATACATGGAAGCTTGCACTTTCTCTAACAATAGAGAAACTATCACTTTTTTCAGAATGGACAAAAGCACATCATTATGATCATTGAGTGCAGCTATCAATACAGTGCACTGTAGACGTTCAATGTAAAAGTGAGATCTACCAGTTAAGAAAATTAAGATCACATTTTGACAGATTAGCTCCATTCCTGATTGTCAAAAGAAAGATCCTGAGATGCACCACAGTCTATGAAAGCCAATGTCTTTGTAATGTGTTATTTAACCTGCAAAAATAAGTGTGTTAAAACAGCGACGGCAATAACTTGTCTTCTATATATTAATATAACTTGCTAAGTTAGACAAATAGGGATCACATTGAGATTTTAATGTGGACTTAATTGTTTTGCTCTATCAGCTGTCCATAGCTAATCACACATTCCTCACTTCTCGTATGTTTATGTGTATAGTGCAGAGAGACAAACACAGAAATCTCCTGACATTGATAATTGACAATTGATATTTGACAATGTCAGAGTGTGCCTGGACCAGCACTTATTTTGAATGACCTTTCTGTGTGTGTCCGACATAATGACTATGTTATTGAATATTGGGTGATTGATAGAATAGGATCAGGATTAAGCTGATGAGATATTGTCCTATACCCAAACATAACAAAAGGAATGTTTCTTGTGATAAAACCATTTGCACACTTTCTGCTGCTACACGTCATAAGATAAAATCTGAAAGGGTTTCCAATACTATGGAAAATAACAAGAAGCAAATGCTCTGCTCCTCTGTATCGCTGCCGTATGGACTACGAAGTGATGGCCTGTAACTTCAAATGGACTTTAGAGTGAGTGAACCTGTTGTTTCCATCTGAGTAAAGTGTAGCACTAGCCTAAATTATAGGCTGCAGATTACAGAGCCAGTGCAGACATAGGCTTTTTGGAGGAGCTTATCACAACAGACTTGTGACAACCGCTGCTATCTTTTCAAAGTGCATCTAATAGTCCATTTATGATACTGTGAATACAATGTTGATAATCTTGGTATTAGCAAAGCCCTGTTGTTTACCAGTGGCTGCTTGTGACAAATGCGAATGCATTACAACTCTTAAGGAGTTATGAATGGCTTAATCTTGGGTTAAAATTGTGGCTGTTGGAACTATAAATCATTAATATATTTGGCTCATTGTACACAAGCAATATGCAGAAAAGGTTTTACAAAGGAGGTGAAACTGTGGTTGGGGCTTTTATAAGTTAATGAACCATTAAATCTGGGACGCATGAAAACTATTTAAAGGGGACATTATTGCAATTTCTCTTGTAAGCATGTTATAATAGTGTTCTGGTTTTCAGAGGACTTTCCTGTTGGCATGTTATATTGCTTTCATGTTACATGGGTGATATGGATTAACATAAAAAAAAATATCCTTTCATATTGACAATCAACTTTCAATACATGTTTTCAAATACTTCAATTACAATCCAAAAGCATATACTGCCTGTCCTTTAGCCCATCGTCTATCACATTAATTACCATCAATCTATCAATCAATAACAAATGGATGGAATAAAATATTTTTTACCACAACTTTTTTCAAATAATTGGACCGATACGCACAGGGCTACTTCTTACAAGTGTATCAACATTACATCTTGTTAACATATTATTTTTTCTATTCACAAGACTCTTCTGTTAGTATTAGAATATGGGATAAAAGTTGGGTTATTCAACTTAAATACTAATATACTTCACGTCTGTATGTAAGGCTTGCTGTTTGCAGTGGAGTGCTCTTATGGTCGCTCTGCTTGAATCATCGAGTGTTAATTACATTTGCCTTGTATACACAAAAAGCAGCACATAAATGAGGGAACTGTAATGACAGTCAGAACAGAGCAGATAAAGACAGTTCAGTTGTCTGTTTTGATGCTTGGCTCAAAGACGTGTTGGTCCCTGTGGTCCCGGGCCTGGAATCTTTGAGTGAAATGCTCTAAGTGCAGTTGACACATCAAAATAGAGTTGATGTTTTGTTGGTTTATATCTCAAAAAGTTTTGTGGAAAGCCATCACGTTGGATCTTGACAAATATTTACAGACTGATAGTCCCAAAGACACACATGGCGTTCATCAAAGGCCTTGTCTATTTTTTGCTTTTTCTTTCAGAGCTTGTACAAATCTATCTTGTATAGACTAGATCTATAGGTTCCAATGCAATGTAAAAGGAGGGCTGGTACCATATGATCTCATCCTTTGCTTCAGAATTACCATATTTCTGTGTAAGTTGTGCAAAAACTATTGGGCAGAAGTGTGAAGATGGGATGTGAGGATTAAGCCCTGTCTCCAATTCTAGCCCTAAATTTGTTCCCCTGTCCTAGATTTTTCTTGAGCCAGTGCTCTTATGGTCGCTCTGCTTGAATCATAGTGTGTTAATTACATTTGCCATGTATAAACTTAGAAAAAGCAGCACAGAAATGAGGGAACTCTAATGACAGTCAGAACAGAGCAGATAAAGACGGATCAGTTGTCTGTTTTGATGCTTGGCTCAAAGACGCATTGGTCCCAATACTTGGGGAGCAAAGGTAGGTGCACTCACACCCTTAAAAAGGCCCCTCATGCGCAAGTGAGCTCCGGAGCTCACTTCCGAGCAAGGATGATCCCATGGAGTATTACGATAGTTGTCGGGCAAAGGCCCGCCACAATGAAAGAAAACTACATGAAAAACCTGGGTGACGTTTGCTCATGGCTACACTCGTCTGTCTCTGTGTGCATACATGTGTGTGTCTGTCTCTGTGTGCATACATGTACTGTATGTGTCTGTCTCTGTGTGCTTACATGTGTGTGTCTGTCTCTGTGTGCATATGTGTGTGTCTGTCTCTGTGTGCATATGTGTGTGTCTGTCTCTGTGTGCATACATGTGTGTGTCTGTCTCTGTGTGCATACATGTGTGTGTCTGTCTCTGTGTGCTTACATGTGTGTGTCTGTCTCTGTGTGCATATGTGTGTGTCTGTCTCTGTGTGCATACATGTGTGTGTCTGTCTCTGTGTGCATACATGTGTGTGTCTGTCTCTGTGTGCATACATGTATGTGTCTGTTTCTGTTTGCCTACATGTGTGTGTCTGTCTCACTTTTCTCTAGAGGGCACTCAGAACTTTCACCTTTTCAAACATGTGCTTGGAAATCATATGAATTAACTATTTGTCTGTATATACGTTTTGTACGTCTGTAAGTTTTTAAATAAATAAATAAATACAAAAAAATAATAATAATACAAACTGAATTGCCCTTTGAATTGGGACAGGCCGAATCTCCTATTAAAATGTACAGAGGATGGCCTTGGTGGGGTATGTGCTCTCCGAGTGCACATTGTTGTTGGATAGTACACTGGAGTTGTGAGTACAGTCTAATGGTGCGTTCAGACCGGATCATGCGTTGCGTCGGGTTTCAATGCAAAGTCTATGGTGACGCACTGACCTCTGGGCACGTGGCTACGGACCGCTGAGTAGAGCCGCACGGACTTGGCGGGAAAGTGAAAGGGGAGGAGCAGGAGCGGAAAATGGACGCCCACAGGAGATAAACTTTGCTCAACTTTTCCTCAGGACGTTTGTGCAGCGACCAATCAGAGAGCTGCAAAGTGGTCACGGGGACATTGGTGGTCTGAACGAGCAGACTGAACATACTGTAAACAGCCAAAACAGGACCTACACCAGGACTAAATCCAGGGTTGACAATGGGGGACTCTGTGCTTGTGAAAATATGCGTTGTCATGCTCCCGTGACCTTATGCAACTGCTTCGAGTGTGTTCGCCGATGCGGAAATACCGTTTAATAATACAAAAAACGTATGGCACACCTCCGTGAACACATACTGCTGTTTTATAAAGCCCATGGAATGTCTCTGGGCAAAGACACCCTGCAAAGCTGCATATTGGAGAAGATCTGTACACAAGAAGCCGCTAGCATAGCTCTGTTAGCATCAGAGCCGGCCGGCTACTTCTGGTACTTCCGTCTGGTGCAGCGAGGCTTCAACGTTTGAGCGTTTGCGGTCTGAATGCGCCATTACACACTCATACTACCACACCTTTTATGTCAAGGCAAAATACATTGATTTACTTTTGGAGCTTCTTGCTTTTTGTTTTTTTGTTACTGTAATGGACCAAACATAAGGCAAGGACAACAGGTGTAAAATCATCTCTAATTTAAAGGCACACCGCGGACTTTGTGACCTAAAGAGTTGACACATATGAGTTATTTTATATGAATACTTGGGCCAATATACAGCGCTTGACACTTGCAATGCTCCGAGCGGGGCTGCCCTCTTGAAATACCGCCCATGTAAGTTTCGAGCAGACGGACCGTCTGCCACCAGGTCACGTGACTTGGAAGAAAGACTTGCTTTACGGCTACAGGCGCTGATATACTCATGGAGCTAAGGCTTTTGCTACTCATTTTTCACCTGCTCGACTCCTGGTCATGGCTGAGGCAAG